GTCCTTTATAAAAGTCTACGGATATTCCTTTCAGGGCATAGACTTTCTAGAATATAATAACGTGACAATATGTATATTTATACGTACGTGGGTAAGGTAAACGTGAAAAATTCTCGGCCTGACATAGAAGTGGCACCGAGGGTGTCAAATGGCTATGATTTTTCTTAAGTTTGATCCTTCAGAGGCCTATTGAAAAAGTTTCAGACAAATGCGGTTAGTAGTTTGTCTCTGGTCTCGAGTAAAGTCTCTTGTCGCGAACAAGTTTTAGTGTTTCTCGAAAAATGGATAAAATCGAATGTTGCGCAGTGATAAAATATTTTGTTTTGAAAGGTTTAACGCCACCTGAAATAAAAAATAAGATGGATTCCAGCTTCGGGACACTCTTCTCCATTGTTGTCAACAGTGCAAAATGAATTTAAATTTCATCTATTATTAAACGTTCAGGACGCCCACAAACCGCTACGACTGAGGAATTTGTCGAAAAAGTTCATAATGTCGTGTTAAATGATCAACGAGTGAAAGCGCGTGAGTTTGCTGACTTGTAAACATCTCAACAGATTGTGTTCATAACATCTTACACGAACATTTGTTGCACATGAAGAAGTTTTCAGCGCGATGGGTGCCGCGTTTGCGTTAACGGTCGGTCAGAAACTCATTTGCAATTGCAGTCAAAAAACTTCATAAACTGCGCTTCGAATTGCTGCCACGCACCGTACTCACCAGATTTAGCCCCCTCCCCCCCCTCTAATGATTTTTTTGGAGATTTGCGACTACAATTGCAGACATTCGTTTTTTTCATTTTTCGAGAAACACCAAAACTTATAAATTTGCTTTACTTGACACAATTGAGACAAACTAATAACCACATCTTTCTAAAACTATTTCGGTAGGCCTCTGAAGGATCAAACTTAAGAAAAATCATAGCCATTTGACATTCTCGGTGCCATTTTTATGTCAGGCCAAGAAATTTTCACCTCGCCCTCGTACATAGCAAAAATGTAATATTCATATAAACATGAAATTCGAATTTGTATTTTGCATACAATAAGATAAATGGCCAAAAAACGACCAAAAAGAGAGAAATAATAAAATAAGAAAATAAGAATTAAGAAATAAGAAATAATAAAATATGTAATAACTTCAACGACCGAAACTTTTAAAAAAATTATTTACTTGTTGATTTAACATTTTCTCGCTTAAGATCGAAGAAATAGTTATACTCCGTTATACTCCATCTATTTATCACATATAGATCGGAAGAG